AGAAAAAGAGGCCTCACATTAAGGGAATCCCCAGCATGGAAAATGCAGTTTTTCAAGCCCTAAGCACTGTGGCTTAGGACAAAACACACAGAGCAGCTCAGAGCACACAGTGGTGCTCAGAAGTAACTGTACATCTGCTCAGAACGAATGTGTGCTGCAGGCTTGCTATGCTTTTGCTAAGCATACACACACATAAACAAAAATCAATATGCTTTTACAACAAAATAATCGGTCACAAGCACAAGAACTGTTCCTAAATACATGTCTTGTGAAGGGCTCTTTAAAAACTCTGCACAGGGATCATTACTGATTGAAATGCAGAGAGTGAAGACCATGGGTGCATTCCTTCTCACTTGGTAAATATGGACAAAAACATCTCTTTCACAACTGTATAGCCTCTAACAGTTTAGGGATGGTTAGCCACAAACGTTATAAAAAGAATCTGGTCTTGAAATAGCAGTCTTTCTTTTTTTTCCCCTGTGCTCCTTTACTAGTATATACCCAGTTTGCTTCTCAACTGATGCTTATCACCATACCTCTACTAATACCAAGCATGTGCCAGTTTACAACCTCCTGAAGATCTGACCCCTCTTTGCTGTCCTGGAAACAGATCTGTGGTCTCTGCAGAAAGTAATATTATTTTATACAGACACAGATGTAGGCGTCCTGCCCCCACTAGCTCATATTTAACTCTCCTTTCATCCTGTTTATTTTGTCTTCATGGTATCAAAGCAAGTTGCACGCCCAGCAACAAGCTCGTAGCAAATAGGTGCATCTTATTTGCAGTGGATTGCCCTTCACAGTGCACATACTACACCCTCAAGGGATTTATGAAGAGGATCAGGTCAAAGCCTCTACAATTTGAATTTTTCTTTTTGTGTTAGAGGAATTATGCTTAAACTTATTTTTCCCAGTGCAGTTAGAGCAGACGCAGGGATTCAGAGGTAGAATAGGAAGATGCAGTGTGTGATGACAGTAGTCGCCATTCAGCACCTTGTCCCTCTACTTCCCCAGAGACAAAAAAAAAACCTGTGCACTCCCTTTCCCTACACCCCAGAGACCCAGATAGAGGTGAGGAGGGAAATAACCTGTGTGTCCTACCCTCTAAAATAACCAAAGCTAGAGTCTTCTCCTGCTTGCCAGGCTATGAAATGGGTCAGGTGCCTCTTCTCACTTTGAGGGAAAGAGGCACCATCTCCACACTGAGATATTCACACTAGAAAGACCTAGAAGGTCCTTTAGCAAACACATAAAGATTGTCCTGGAGGTAAAAAAAGAGGTGACAACCCATGACTCACTTCAGGCACTGTTTTCTGAGGACACTTGCCTGGAAGTGTCATCTCCACCATGTATTCAGGCAGTGTGGTGGAGAGAGGCAGTGAGATCTCCCAAGGCAGCTCTGAAACAAATTTGGCTGGACACAACACGATCAGCAGGACAACATGATCAGTCAGACCTAACTCTCCTCTGGGCTTCCAACTCCCAGCACATTGCTGGGGCTAGACCGCTTCCACCACCTAGTCTTGTATTTCTGTACCACACTGCAGCCACTTGCACTATGCTAGCCCAGGGATCTCTAGCACAGCAGTGCCTCAGCTTTCTCCATCCCCTTTATACTCTCCCATCCTGCTAAGATACCCACTGTGCAAAACAGACAAAAATCACAGCAAACTCAGGGGTATCCCCAACTACAACACCCAGAGCACCAAAATACTGCTGTACACTCAGATGGACTAACCCTGCTCTCTCTCCTTACTGACTATCACAAGGTCACCGTGCTTTGCGTTTTTAGCTGGAGTGCCAAAAAGCTGGAATTGTGCCTGTCATTTAGAGTACCTTTTCTCAGATGGCTCTCACATGTCTTTATAAACTTTGGTAAATGAGTATATAAATCACTCTGTCCACCACCAAAGTACAGCCATCTCTGGGATGATACACAGCAGCTGCTGTAAAATCAGACCACAACTCTACACCACAGATTAGGGCAATAAAACATGCTGCATGAGGCAACTGAAATGGTTGAAGGAAGGAAGGGGATGTGGTGGAGAGCATTTTGTAGTTATAATTACCTGAGTATAAATTTGGCTGAAGAGGGTACTGTATTTAATACTTGCATATCTGCAAATCAAATCAGTCTTCCACCACCTGTCAAAACAATCTGACTGTATCATTCCCCATGTCTTGGCCTTCTAAAGCTCTTCCTTTCTGAAAATTGCAAAGCACCTTGATAAGAGCAAAGCTGATGTGCTGAGTACAAGCAATAACCTAATCAAATTTCTTAGCAACTGACTTGATAACTAACTGTGAGTCTGTAGCTTCTATGTCCTCTCCCTTCCTCTCTCTTGCATGACAACTGAACATAGCATCTATATATACCCAGTTCTAAAATAGCTGCTGCTCCCATAACTTGCAAACCGTTCACATAGATCTCATCTTCTAGTCTAAAAGTAGTTAATTACAGTCACTAAGGGGACTGAACTGCTGCACTCTTTTCCTTATTCTGGGATGGGCTCCTTGAGTAGTGTATTGCCTCTCTGTCCCCTCGCCAAATTATGAACTGTTTATAAAAGGAAATTTTTTGAAGGATGGGGCTGCACAGATCAGATCTACAAATTTCCTTGTATCAAGGACTGCAGATGTATAGTTATCCTTCTCTCCCTCTTACCCTTGGCCATACAGCAAAATATGCATCATCTAAAGCTAAACCTGAAAATTCATAAAGTACAGAGAAGTTATGTGAAAGATTCTTCCAATAATTATATGTGACGTGGGACAGCACGGTTTAGGACGAGGACACCAGTTTAGGTTGAGGCACCACACAGACTTTATACAGTGCTAATCTGCAAAAATTATTAGTTTAGTTTGAGTGCCATCTCTCTACACATTACCACAAGCATTCTTATGTCTCCCAGACAGTGTAAAAGCTGAAACTATTAGCAAAATATTCCTAGAGAACCAAGAGAGTCAAGAATTGTGCCTTTTAATTGGATTATTATTGAAATATTACTAATGATGAGTGACAGCTCAGACAGACCATAAACAACACAGGTCCCATTTAGTTCTTGAGCTTGGATCAGGAGCAGACTTACAGCCGAATCTCTTGCACTGGTTCACACTGCAGTCTCCAAGTGCACAGCAAGGGCTCCTTTAACTGGAACTAAACCAGACCAACTGCTATGAGGAATTTGGTACACAGAGCCAGGCTTAGACTAACCCAGAATAAACTCCTGAGGTACATAGAGTGCATCCAACAGTCCTCACTACCAGCCATGCTAGAGGACGAATCTATCTATGGCAGCACATTACTAGTTAACGTGGACATGGTCATATGCATGGACTCCCTACATGAAATATCCATAAACAATCAGACAGTTAATTACTGCTTGTATTCAGCTTTCTATGCACTAACATGGAAAAGGTAACTATCTCAGATCACCATCTACAGACAGACATGAATGACATCAGGTACCTATCCTATTGGATATCTCTCTCAGCAATTTCACTTTGGTTTCTTAGGCTGTCAGCTTTCAGGAATTGGTGAGAAGATGAACCATATTTTCCTTGGGACTGAATAATAAGTGTTTCTGTGTGCAACTCTGCCATCAATACTAACTAAACTGCACATACTCCAGGCCAAGTTGCACCTTCCCATCTTTGCAGGTCTTAGGGAAGTCAGTTGACCTAACTGTACGTGAGGGCACAAACAGGTCTGCCATATGTCAATGAAACAAGTAAATACACTCCAGCTGCAGTGATGTAGAGCTAACAACCTAAGGATATAACCCAAGCCCTACAGTTAGAACATCAACAGTTTCGTGGTATTGAGTTAGCTCATACCAGTGGCAGGTATGAAGCATGCACTGAGAAAAAGCTCTGTAGGTCTGACTGGACAATCCTAACCTCCACTGCTGTCACCCATCTGCACCCTCAGAGCAATGACAATCTTAGATGGAGAACCATCATGGTCAGAACCTCAGCGTGCAAGACAACCGACAACATTTTCTGTGTACACAAACCCTGGTTTTTATGTTTCCATAAGCAAAGGGAGGGAGAGGGCAGCTTTTGAATGGACACACTGTGCATAGTCGAGAATCTTCTATTACGAGCAAAGCAGAAAATTATACAGCTCTTTTCTTGTTCTGTAAGTACAACACAGGATGGAATGCATAAAAGTATGAAACCCCAAAAACTGTACAGTAAAGGCTTTCAGCATGCAAATCCCACAGCTAAAATCCCGCAAGACAGCCATGCCTGGTGTAATTTTATTCCTGTTAGGATCACGATCCATTATGAAAGCATTTGTGTAAAGAAAAAGACCCTCAATCTGAATTATCATAACCACCAACTTGTGCAGAGAGTACAGGATGGAAGAATGGCTGCTGCATGGTCTGCTAATTATACCAAATATGGTCAATGGTTATCCAGGAAACATAAATGCCCTTAGTAAATACAGATAATGAAGGAGAAGCAGTTTGAACACAGTATAAGAGAATTAAATAATGTGATTTTTTTTAATCTTACACATATATTCTGCTGCTAAAAGAAAAAGTTATGAACATTTAAAGCAAAACTTCACAATTTATGGTTTGTAGGAACACTGCTATTTTCCTACAAGGATGAGTAAATAAAATTAAAAACAAAACCAATAAAAGTATTTGTACTAGAGGAAAAAATAGTAATGTGTAGTTTTAGAGCCTGACAACAGCTGGTTGATTTCAACAATGTAAAATACTTTTAAAAGGTTAAGCTTTCACTATGACACAAAGTTTCTAGGCCATCTCTTGTGTTGCTGTAAAGTGATATAATTTAACAGCTTCCAAAAAAACCTAAACTGTAGAGATTAATTTTTAATTTTTGACTGAAAATATTAATAAAGTGTTAATATATGCATATATGACTAAGACAAATAGGGGTCATGGAGGTGCCACAGTGGCATGATGGAATTCACAGGAATGTGAATGGAAGGAGCAGGAAGCTCCACACAAGCACTTCATACTCACGTGTTTTGCAGAGAACTCATCAACTTCCTGAAGCACCTTCTCTTGGCACTCTGGGTTGGTGGCTAGCAAGTATGTGGCAAAGGACAGCGTGCTAGTGGTGGTCTCATACCCAGCAATCAGGAACAGGAAAGCTTGGCCTGCTATCTCATCCTCTGTTAATGTCTTCTGAACCTTTTCAGATGGGGCCCTGCCAGGAAGAGGCGCCTCATTCTGCCTGGAAGCAGCAGATGGGCTGATCACATCAGAACACCCGGCTGCCAGAGAGTCGGCTGAGTCACGGGAGTCAAGCATCCACTGGAGAAAATCACTGCGCCTCTGCAGAACACAGGATGAGAAGAAACAAGAATGGGTCACAGAGAAAGACCTTAACCCACAGGGGATGTCAAGAGAGAGCTGCTTCCCATTGGTACTGCACACTTGGCTCCCAAAAAATGGCCACTAGTCTTTCACTGCATGAGAAGGCTTCTACAGATCAGCTGGAAATACAGTAACCAAGAGCCTGTCACTGCTTTCTTCACAGAGAGATGAGAATGATCCGCTCCCAATACACAACAGGTACATATTTTCACAGATGATTGCTAATGGTCAGTTCTCTACAGAGCTACTTTCATTCTCTGGCACTTGCTGGAAATCAGGGGATTGACACAGACACTGTACACGCAGACCCATGGGCACTTGTCACGTGGAGGTGGCACAACTCATTTATGGAGGAGTTGGTCCATCTGCTTGGGTGCACCACCCTCGTTTGTTCATATGGTCCAAAGCATGAAAGTCACCATCTAAATTCAGGGTTGATTCTACAATACTTTCTTACCAGCTTAACCTGACAGGACTAAAAACTGATCTCAGCAAACTGGGACATCTTTTTATGAGCAAGTACAGATATAAATGCAGCTTTATGTTACCAACATAATTTGGGGGGGGGTTACATTTTTTATAAACATATTTGCAGAACTGTATTACAACCGTAAGTATTCCTCTACCATAAAACCTGTTTGGATGGTTTGTATTTGCAAAATGCCCACTGAATGATTCTACTGCTATGAAAATTGCTTTCTTTTACATTGGTTTCTGACACAAAACCTCTAATAAACAGACCTATAGACAAGAGTGAGCTGACTCCAAACCAGTCTGGACAGCAAGCTTGATTAGGCTTTGAAATATAACCCAAAAGGTTTGAATTGACTTTTGCGAGTGGGCATAATAGAATTGTGCTGAACCCAAGCCATAAGGCTGTGTGATTGATTTTCAATTCCTCAAATACCAACAGAATACATGATAGCTCAAGGACTTCAAAGTGACTGCAGTGCCAGAACATGACAACTTGTGCAGTGGGATGGACAAAAGAAGGGAGCGAGTCTTTTTTCAAAAGAAAAGAATATGCTGTAATGCTGCATTTATCTGTTAAAAATAAATCATTGAATGATTTCTTGGATCTGATGATTGAGAGATAAAGTAGAAAAAAGAGCCAGACAAAAGGACAGGCAAACAAGATAAGAGTAAGGAAGAACTAATTAATTATAAATGTCTAAGGATTTAATCAGATTATTTATTTTTCACATGACATGGGAAAAGAGAGCAGTTAGACAACAAAACAGGAGAAATACTTAGTGTCCTGTGCTTAGTTCTGCTGCCAACAAACTGTTCTGATCGATCTACAGGCAGAGAGGAATGGTTATTTCGGGGTTTGAGTAACACAAGGGATTGGCACACTGCCTCTTTAACACTCCTTTCCCTCCACCTCACAGAACCTTTTCATTTTGCATGTGTATATTATGCACCTTGTACCCATGACCATATGCAGCTTGCACCCTGGTACACCCAAAAATCAGTGTTCCAGGTAGAAGCCAGTGGCAGCCACAGCACGCTGAAGGACTCAACACATTGGCCAGCCAGACTGAATCACCTCCAAGGCATGGCAGATATGCTTTTCCACCAGTAAGCAGAGGCACACAAAACAACGTTATACACATTGTGCTCAGCAAATGAGCTCCAGCTCTGAAAATACTTCCTTGTGCCTAGACTTAGGCACAATTTCCACCAGCATGATAGGATACCTCTGCTCTATTATATTCCTCTAGATTGGAAGAAACAAGACTTCACGCAGACTTCAGCTGTGAATAGCTAAAAATCTCATTTAACTTTTCCAGGAAGAGCTTTATTCACATCCTGGGAGTCCATATATTGCACAACTCAGAGTCCAACTCTTTGGCATAGCCTGTGCTTCAGAGATTTCCCTGGAACTCATATTTGCATTAGGTCACTTTTAGAATTAAAAAGAAACACCAACAAACACCCTCTACCCAAAAAAAAAAAAAAAAAAATCAACCAAGAGAGTCCAGATCCCAAGTTCAACGTAGTAATGAACCTCATCTGTAGCAATATTCTCTTTTATCTGTAAAGCCAGTCACTATCATCTTAACTACTTTTATAACATAAAAATGTAAAATTACATTCATATTCTGTGTAGTTGTAACACTGTAGTACCCTATAGCTCAAAAAGGTATAACATTTGGTATGGTTCTGCAACCATCCTTCTCTAGCTGTGAATTTTCTTGTAAACAAACCCATTGCTCTCTGAGGGTTTGCAGTTCCAGTCATGAGCTGTTAGCCAAGTCTGGTCTTATATTTAGACAATACACTCTCTGGAGACCCCATAAGATGTTTCTCCAGCCTTAGACAAAATCAGGTCCTGGCCTTATACAAAGCATGTGGTTATTGCTATGATAGTAAAGTAATAACCATAATGACTAGAGAATAAAATTTCATTCACGAGAATTTTTGCTGAAAGCAAACTTAATGAATACTAGCACAAGTGAATATTCCCAAGAATGTGCTCTGAAATGCCTCTGTGGCCATTTTGAGGAGCTCTTTTTATTACTCACATAATATATTTGGTTAGGAATTTAAAAGCTTGTCTTGTTGCAGAATCTGTTTTTAAGGTCACCCTATCGAGAAACAACTAGATACCTTATCTGTGCCATGTAATTTGCTCACAGGTGAGCAGGTGTTGCTAAGAGCAATGGCTTCATAAACAGCCCTTGCAAAAACAACATTCATCTGTAAAAACTACTTGAATAATAGTAGGGAGAAGAAAAGTGCAACATTAGAAAGATGCAAGCTTTTTCCAGGATAATTTTACACAGTGGAAGGAGCGATATTTTAGTAAAGCTTCTCTTCCTTATGCTTCGTTCTACTTCACTTTAGGCATCAGTATAGAAAGCAACATAAAAAATCGTCATCAACCCAAGCAAGAGAAGATATTTCCAGGGTTATAACAAGTCATAATGAAACATATTTTTTTCCGCACCATCAGGATGGAAAAATCACTCTGATTCAAAAACCTAACAATAGCAATAGAGGCAAATACTAGCATAAAACCAAATATAATTGGATTGTTAAGTGCTAGAAATGAGGAAAAGGTATCTCATGAAAATTCACAGGAGGGGTTTCTCCACTTTGCTTGCCAGTAGAATGAAAAAAATATTTTAAAAGACATTTTTTTCGGTTTGACAACAGACCAGGTACTGACAGTGTCACTGCACAAAAACATTCTCTGGTCATCACATCCCACTGCTGGCTTCCTTTTTTTCCATCAGGGACATTTGTTTGATTTTCCTCACAAAAAGCAGAAGTCCATAATAGCCTCTATCCTGTCCTCTGACACTTGCATAGTTATGTTACAATGGCCTCAGAAACAAGTTCCTGCCAAAAAAAGTACGGTGTGCTAACGCGATGGACTCTTCTTTTGCCCTCATACAACACAGAGCCTGTCATTAAGCCAATGATAATTGAATGGAAAGCTATGATTTGAAAAAAAAAAGTAATTTGAATGCAGTACGGGACAAGGTGCATGTCTAGCTTGGTGGTGACACAGACATCCCCTTTGAAATATATAATAAGACAAGTCCCGCTTCCAGCTTCCCCAAGATAGACACCTTGCAATATATTTCCTGACACCAGTGTTCTGGGTCGTATCATTTCTCTCATTAGTCTCCTTAAACATCACCTGGTCATGCAGAGAAATCACTCTGCAAAGAACCGTAACGAGCGCTGTGCTACGCGCTGGAAGAATAGACGTGTGCTGTGCTGGGGAAGGCCAATCCACAGCATCCATCTTCCCTCCTCAAATCACTGCCTCTAAGTTTTGCAGCTGTCAGAAGAAGAGAGATGTATCCCTCACACACGAGATGCATCATGACTTTCCTCACAGGAGGCAAGTGTCCTGGGGGGCAGGGGGCATCTCCAGCTCTTTCCATCCTAAACAGGGAATTGTGTTTTCATACCTAAGACTGACATGCCAGCTGACCTTCTGGCAAATTCACCACTGCTTTGGGGGTCCAGGGGGCCCTTGGGTTATGCTTTTGGTAAAGAGATTAAGCCATTCAACTTCTCTGCAAGGTGAAGTCAAAAATTAAGGAAAACTACCTAATATACATCAGTTGGAATTTTTGTTCTTAACGTTGTGATTTCAATTACGTTTTCTTCATACTATGCTCAAATTTTGCACCACTCTGATAGTTTAGCTCCCCATTTGGAGTTCAAGAGAGCCACAAAAAGCAACTTTAACTTGAATCAAGGAATAAAAATAAATGACATAATTGGTATTCTGTAAAGCACTTGCTGTGGTGTAAAAGTCATACAATGAATGCTGTAATATAATACCATTCACAATAAACTGTACAGACCCTCCTAGTCTTTCTCAAATGCTCAAAACAGATAGACTTCAGAATCCATATCTAACAGTTAGGAAGATCACATCTCACTCATATTATCTCAGCAAACTTGTACACACTGCTATATCAGTTATATACAGGTCACATTTTATAAGCTTGACTGGGCAACCGTCTTTTTAAGTGAGACAACCTATGTCACCAGGAAGTCATCAGTAAAGCACTGTGGTAGCTACCCAGATCCTTTTGAAAAAGAAGCACAAAATGCTGTCCCACTAAAATATTATTTTGCCAAACTTCTTTGAAAGGATCAAATTCAACCTCTCTCTAACACTTGCAGGTTTCCTTTGGTTTCTCAGTGAAATCACAAAAAAACCCCCAGTTTCTCTGACAATATATCCAATTCCAAAACATTTCAGAGAGACTGTCCTTTTGCCTTGTGCTTGAACACAAAAGCTTGAAACAATGCAAATGCCTGAGCTGACAGCCCCCAAATTTGTGCGTCTGCAGGTTGAGGACACGGTGCTCTCACAGGTGATGCTCAGCTCTGGAAGGACTGCATGGTTTGGTCATTATTCAGGAGTGGCTGGGAGATTTTTCAGTCTGGCAGACAAAACTCTTCAGTTTGCATTTGTTAACATC